GGCAGCCACTCCCCCTACCTCCCCACTCAGGCAACCAGCAAGCTGCTTTCCAGTCTCTATGCTATCATCTGCTCTGGAGAGCTCGCACAAACGGAGTCCTACCCCTGTGGCCTTTGTGGCTCACTCTTCCACTGGCCATTGCGTTTTCAAGATCCATCCATGTCGTAGCATTCATCAGTGCTCCGCTCCTTTTTAGGGAAATGGGCATACTGTAGAACTACCTGCTTGGGTCGGTGAGAATCACCCCAGCTCCCGAACACAGATGTTTGCTTCGACCCATGTACCTAGCACTGGTGTCAAGGGGTGGTTTGGTCCCCTGGGGTGCATTTAGCAATGTCTAGAGGCATTGTGAGTTGTCACAACTGGGGCGTATGCCCTGGACATCTGGTGACTGGTGGCACCGACGCTTCACCTCCTGCGATGCACGGGACAGCACCCACGACAAGGGATAATCTGGCAAGCTGGCAACAGTGTCCTCAGTTCCACATCTGAGCTGACCCCAAGTCATGTGCTGAAGTATTTCCCAAACTCAGCTGCGGTTAGGAACCACATGTGCTTTCTTAAAGATTTATTTGAGAGAGAGAGAGAGAGAACAAGTGGGGGAAGGGGCAGCGGGAGACCCGTGATGATAAAACAAGGTGGAAGCTTTCCTGGTTAAAAAGGCAAGGCGGGACGCCTGGGTGGCTCAGTCGGTTAAGCCTCCGACTCTAGGTTTTGACTCAGGTCGAGACCTCAAGCCCTGAGTCCTTGAGCTCCCTGCTCAGCGGGGAGTCTGCTTGTCCCTCTCCCTTTGCTCCTCCCCCTGTGCTCTCTCTCTCAAAAAAATAAGTATCTTTTAAAAAGTTAAAAAATTTATTTTAAAAAGCAACAAAACAGGGAAAGTTAACCAGGGCAACCACAAAGAAAGGCTCTCAGTGATGGGGGAAAGAAATCCTGTAGTTACATGGTCCAGATGCCCTAACATGCCACGATCATAGAGCCGGGCGTGCGCGCGTGTGCACACACACACACACACACACACACACACACATGGTCACTGCTGTGCTAACAGCTTCGGGTTTGAGAATGTGCAGAAAGGCGAGACCCCAACCCACAACCTCATGGTGAGGAATTTTTTTCTACCCCTTTACTTTCAAACATGAACAAGAGACGTAAAAGAGTTTCGAGAACTATCCTACGACACTGTGTGTGTTCTTATACTACCTATGCCCTTCCCTCCTCTCTCAGCCTGGGACACCCCAGGAACTAAGAAAAAGAAACCTCCCCACTGGACACTGAAAGTGGTCATCAAATGCTTTGCACAATGTCCTTAGTGCGGCTGGCCGTGTCTGCTCAGGTGACCCGGCTTCAGGAGGGGGTGGGCAGAGCCACACCCCACCAGAATCCACCTGCTTACTGGAAGCTAGCCCCACGCTTCCTGCTTACCCACAGGAAATCGGGAGACTTGAGAGCTAGAGGAAAGGATTACCTTTCAAGGACTCCCGCTGTTCCAAAGAAAATGGGAGGAATCCGATGATTCCAGGCAGAGAGGGAGAAACAGCCAATTAAGTCCCACAAAGGCACAGAACAGCAAACCACCTTGCAGCCCCCTCCACCCTAGGCGGCCTCCAAACACGGAGGAAACCTCAGGTGGAGCTGATCACCTAGAGGATGAGACGCCTCTTCCCACAGGTGCAATCACTATCCTGCGCTATTTCCCTGCCCCTGGCAACCCCCACCCCCTTGTAAGTTTCTAACACGAAATTTTTCTGCTGTTTCTCTCTTGCTTTCTTGCTTTCTACCGTCCATGCCACAGGGAAGGGGATCCCATCGCCCGTCACTGCTGTACCCCAAGCAGGGCGGACAGGTAAGTAAGTTTGCCCCCGAGGGCTCTATTCCAGGGTCCGCGGCACCTTCTCAAAAGACACCCCACCCGGAGGTCTGTGATACAGCACCCATCCCTCCTCAATTTTCAGGCTCCGTGAGAACCCCAGAAGAACTGAAGGGGTTTAGGGCATCCCAGGAATCGCTGCTCCAGAGGAGGACGGCAAAATTCTCCGCGTCAGCTCGGTTCGCGCTGGGGATCCCTGGCGAGATGTGGCTTTGCAGGAGGAAACATTTAAGAAGCAACGGGGAGGTTCCTCCTAAAGTTAAGCTGAATTATCCTACGGCTCAGGATTCCACTCGCAGGGAGATACTCAGGAAAACTGAAAACAGGGCTGCATTTACATGAAATATGCAAAACTGGTAAATCCAGAGAAACGAAGGCACAGGATGGGGGGAGGCAGGGGGGCCCAGCAGATGCAGGGAGAGGAGGCGAAGGGGCGTGGCTGCTTCATGGGCGTGCACTTTGTATAGGGGGCGGGGCGATGAAAATGTCCGGAGTCGGGTCGAGGCGAGCTTTGCACAACACCGTGCACTTTCTAAACCACAGGCAACACTTGAGTGACAGGTGAATTTTAGCTTAAAAAAACAGAAGCCCCCAGACCTGTTGGCAGGGCCGTGCTGGGCCCACTGCTCAGTCTTCTCTGGCAGGGCTGTGTTTGGTACCCCAGCTGCAGGAGGCCCTGGGTACAGCAGGAGTCAATCAATGACCACCCAAAGACCAGAGGGGGCAGGTTGGAGGCTCCCAGATGTCCCCCTGAGCCCTCATTTTGCACTGTGATGCCTCCCCCAAAACACATGCACGACTATACACACAGGTTCACAAACAACACTGTGCTCAGTGAGGACCCCGACCGGCTGCACACACCGGGAGGAGGAGGCTGCCTATTTGGGAAACGGCCCACGACCACTTAGGAGAGGAGGCAGCTCAGAGAGCTTGAGACCCGCTCGAATGTGTGACACATCAGCACCACGCAATACTACTCAGCACCCAAAACAAATGAGCTCTCGGGCCCCGAGGACACGGGGAGGAACCTTAAGATGCCAAAAGGCAAGGGAAAGGTGCCAAGCTGAAAAGGCTGCATCCTAGATGGTTCCAACTCCAGAACATTCTGGAAAAGGCCGAACTGTGGAGACAGTAAAAGGATTAGTGGTTGCCAGGAGTTCTGGGGGAGGGAGGGATGAGCAGATAGCACAGAGGATTTTCAGGGTGGTGAAAATAATCCGCAGGATACTTGAGTGGGAGACAGGGACATCACACATCTGTCCAAATTCACAGAAGGTGCGCCACCAGGAGTCAATGAGCCCTGATGGGAGACTGTGGACTTTGGGTGTTGATGGGACCATGCACGTTCATCAGTCCTAACAAGTATCTCCTCTAGTTGGGGGAGGCTGTGCGTGCATGGGTAAGGAACAGGGGATGCCTGGGAAATCTCCGTACTTTGTGCTCTGATCTGCTGTGAACCTGACACTGATCTCAAACGGCTTATTTAAAAGGGAAATAAAGGTACTTAAATGCGTGAACATTTACCTAATACTGCGGAGATCAGTCACAAAACAGTTAAATGCACTAGCCGGTATACTTGGCTGTGAACTGGGGTTTTCTGTGTGTGTGTGTGTGTTGTGTGTGTGTGTGCGCGCGCGCACGCATGTGTTTTAATCTAAGCCTCAGAATCTTGTTTCTTTAAAATTCTTAGACTGGAGGGGGTGGGGGAAGAAAAGAAAAACCCTCCTGGTTTCTCTCTCTCATGGCCTTGCTGGATCTACTTACAATTTCTCATGCGCCTATGAAAAACAGACGGCTCATTGTAAACATTTGAGTCATAAACGCAGGAGATAACTTTAATAGCATCCAAAATGCAAATCAGAATTTGGACGCAAAATCCCAATGTCTACGTTTACTCCTAATAGAGATCTTGGAGCCCCGAAAGTCAGCGAAGGATTTTAACATCCTGAACGCAGAGGCTGTCGCTGGGGAGAAAAGCGGGGCCAAGCTGTGTGAACGTAAGACACCGTGTTTATGAATAGCTCAGCGCCCAACAGAAACGGTCTCACTAGCAACTGGGAAGCCAGCTGCCCCAGAGAAAACATTTCCATGGGCTGCGCTGTGGTCAGCCAGGAACCAGTCATGTGCGACCAGCGAACTTCAACAGAAGCTGTAACTGAATGCTTTTTGTTAACAAGATGCAGACCCCACACTTCTGTAGAAGCCCACCTCTCCCGGACTGGACTTTACTGGAGTTAAGGACAGACAGCCATCGGGGGCTTGAAATCGGTGCAGATCTACTTCGAGGTCTGAGCAGATCCGAGTCTCTTTCGTCAGCTGAATGCAAATTCTGTGTTAACAAACTCAAGCCCAGCGTCCTCCATGCACCCAGGCCAAACAAAAGAGCCTTTTAGTTTGTAACCGTACACGAGTGAGCCCGCACTCGGAACAATACGAGGGAAGGACTGATGGAGGCGTCCTCCTCCAAGCGTCTGACATTATTTTCAGTCCCAGAGAGTATATGTTTTATGGTCCTTGAAACAGGCTCCTGTTTTGCAGGCTCTGCATACGTAATTAATAACAGCTTGAGACCATTTCTATACCCCCATCGGAGCAAAATGGCTAAATATGCGTAGCCCTCATTTTGTCAAATGAAAGGAAAACGCACGATCAAGATCGGGCAAGCGGCAATTTTTCCGGGGCTGTAGAAGTGGACGGTTTAAACAACAACGCTGGCCACACCAAGAGGACATCATTGTTCTGTGCCTTCCGAAATGAAGTTGTATCACCAGGTAGGAGAGGGGTGGATGACAATGGCCCCCTTCTCGCATCTCACCACTGCCCCGATCAATTAACAAAGCGTGTTTTGTTTGGAGAATGAATGAGAACGCTTTCTTCTGTGCATTTTATGAAAACTTGAAAACTAGGGCTTGCTGCCATGGAAAATGCCTAGTGAGTTCCAACAGCCTAGCGTCCGAATCGGACTCCCTAGCAATCCACCCAACGCAACATCGGTCATCTTGACATGGAGGGATATTCAGCGAGTCTGACGTTTTTATCATGAAGGGTTTCCTACCATAATGGAACAGATAAAGGCTCTTTGTAGCAGCGGCTGGAAACGCAACACAAGACCTTTCTTCACACCGTTAAGAATTGATAAATAGTTCACCAAGTGAACCGAAGACTTTATTTTTTTCAAAAGCAGACAACACCAAAGTACTACGTAGTATCGTACTCATTGCAAAAATAATTACTGGAACTTTCCAAACATCGAAGGGATAAGCGGGATCACTGATTACCACTATGATTTTTGGCCAATATACAGATTTTCGTTCCACGTCTAGGCTTGATTTCTACATAATATTATTCACGTGCATTCCCTGTGTCTGTTTATTATCAATACGGGGACTCTGGAAAGTCAAGCCCAGCTTTATCTTGCTTTCGAAGATGACACAGCAACTAACGGAGAACGCTGGCTTGCTGACTGAGTCCTAGAAATCATGTCTCCTGATGGCCTACCACAAAATGTATTTCTGAAAAATAAAATCAGAATTTAGATTCCTCTGAAACAGGTCCCCAAGCTCTCCAGCACTGTGGTACCCAGATGTGCTCACCCTGTGTGTCCCTCTGTCTCTCTCAAGACTCCCCCGGAAACCCCCAAGGGGCCCCCCTTGAAGAGTCCCATTAGAGAGGTTTTGAAGAACCGCACCAAACCCAAGTAGAGGCAGTGGAGAAAATTATCCATTGCCTTTTCTGTTAAGGACCAAAAAAACAAAACAAAACAACAACAAAGAACACACCGACCAATAGGAAAGTGGTGGCAATCATATGGTCAAGAAAAATGGATCTATAAATCCTTCCTTTCAAAATTATGTCCAAAGGTGTTTAAGACCGAAAGGAGGTCACAGACATGGTTAAGACAAACAATTCCTCTAGAAGGAAAAAGCCCTTCCCCGGAAGGGGCGGAGGATGGTGCTGAGAAAGGAGGGAAGGCGGATCCCAGGTAGGATCCAGCCCTGTATCTCCAGCACACATAGCACGTGGGAATCTGGGGGGGGGGGGGGACAGCTCCTCCTGGTACTTAAAAAGGAATGAAGAATAAAGTGAATTTGTGTGCTACTGAAAAGCCCCCAGTGGGAGACTCCGCGAGCCAAGCCCTTCGCTGATAAGGCAGGGATCATGGGCCGTGGGAACAGGTGAGCTGGACGTAGGCACTGAAGGTGGGGTCAGCCGTATTTGGGTCAGAATAGTCTCGAAAAGTAAGGCAACCTGTGGCTTCCTGGCTTGAGACCGCCCCCCTGGAAAGGCCCACGGAGGCAAGAAGTGAAGCCGGCCGGTGGCCAATCACTGGGAAGATTCCGATGGGGCAACGGTCCCAGTTGCACGGGGTGGCCTGGCATCACCGGAGGCGGGAACCAGCACTCGGAGTGAATGTCTTTGCAGGTCCTGTGCATGACTCCGAGCAGCGACCTCTGGGGTTTTGGAGGTGTGTTACTTTTGTGATATTTTTCCCCCAAAAGAAGACACGAAGGTGAAGACCCTGGAGAGAGGAGGCTAGCGAGGCGGGACACCACTCCCACCAGGGCAGGACGGGGTGAGAGTCGGAGAGCACTTCCGGCAGCGTACAGCTCCCTCTGGGTCTGGCCGAGTCCTACAAACGCTTGTAGGTGCCCAGGAGAGCTTTGCAGTTGGGACAGTAGTGGTCCACGTCCTGCAGGGCATCCACACAGAAGGGGATGAAGCAGCAGCCCGCTATGCACCTAGGGGACAAACACAGCCAGACACGAGCGCGTCACCCTAGGTCACAGTGCCGCGCGGCGGCCCCAGCCCCACAGAAACACTTGCTCTGACCGTACTTGGAACCAGGGTCTCTGCAGATCTCCAGCTGGGATCATCCTGGAAGAGCCAGGTGGCTCCCTCCACTCAATGACAGATGTCCTTACAGGAAGAGGAGGGGACACACAGAACAACAGGGAGGGATACAGGCAGAGACTGATGTCTGGCAGCCACAAGCCAAGGACCTCCCAGGGCCACCCGAAGCTGGAAGGGGCGAGGAAGGATTCTCTGCCCTCTAGAGTCGTCAGAGGGCGGCACCTTGACTGTGAACTTCTGGCTTCAACAGTGTGAGAATAGATCCGTATGGTTTTACTGTGTGGTTATCTGTCCCCGGCGCCCGAGGCAACGAGCACGTGAACCAATGCCCAGCCTGTTCTCTCAGACCCGCCGACCTGGTGGTATTTTCTACTCTTGGGTCAGCTCAGTGTCTCTGGGTCTTAGACTGGGGCCGGTGACTTTCTTGTGTCAAGGGCCAGACAGTACATATTTTAGGCTACACCTTGCTACATCTGGAAACAGACGGTGTGGTCTGTTCCCCACGAACTAAAATGGGCTGGATTTGGGTCCAGGGCTGCAGCTGGCTCCCTGCGCTGTGTAGACTGATAACTCGTCCAAATGGAGAGGGCCCTTCTTACAGTAATCACCAAACAAAATTCCCCAAATAACAGCTCTCAATCTACGTATCCCATTACCCGTGCCCCCAGGCAGGAGTCCCAGACAGCCTGTGGTACAATAAGGAATAGGTCTGGTCTTTGTCTCCACTTCCTGGCAATTAGGTCCAAGAGTCTGGGAATTTCCCAAGGGACAGAGTGAGGGCGTTCTGCTATTCAGAACAAGCCCCTTTCTGTCCCACCTGATTCTATGCTGATAAGGAGACCACACCCCAGGCTCCCTGCCTGAGGATGGGGCGGGTCACCACAAAGACCTTTGGTTCGTGGTGGTTCCAAGGTTAGAACCTTCAGCCCCAAGCCGCAGGCAACGGGCTTAGATCGGGTTATAAAAACCCTAAACTTCTATTTGGAGGGCTCCGGGATTGGTAAGCGTAGCCTTGTCCCAGGAGAGCCGTAACACCCCAGGTCCACGGGGACAGAAGCTTTGGCACCGGGGCCCCCTTGGACCATGTCCTCTGTCCCTCTTCGTCTGGCTGTTGCTCATGTGTATCCTTCATAATAATCTGGTAAATGGAAATACAGAAGTGCCTTCCTGAGTTCTGTGCTGCTCTAGCAAATTAGCAGACCGGGAGAAGGGATCGTAGGACCCTCAGTCTATAGCAGACCTCTGTGCGGCCTGAGACCTGTGACCCGCATCTCTTCTGGGGGCAGTCTAGGGGACTGGGTCCTTCAGCTGTGGGCTCCGTGCTGACTCCAAGCAGTTAGCGTCAGAATTGAATTAAATCTCCGACACCCAGCTGGTATTGGAGAGGGGCTGGTATCGGAAAACACCCCCACAGGCTTAGGACTGATGTTGGCCCAAATTTAGTTAAAAATCAACATTTTAGGGGCAACTTGGTGGCTCAGTGGGTTAAAGTCTCTGCCTTCGGCTCGGGTCATGATCCCAAAGTCCTGGGATCGAGCCCCGCATTGGGCTCTCTGTTCAGCGGGGAGCCTGCTTTTCCCTTCTCTCTCTCTGCCTACTTGTGATCTCTGTCAGTGAAATAAATAAATAATAAAAAAAACACAACATTTTACAATGCACAGCACGGGGATCAATCCGTAACATTGTCCTAACTTGATAGGGCAACGGATAATGTATAAAAACATCAAATCACTATCTTGTCTATCGGAAGCTGATATAATATTGTATGTCAATTATAATTCAGTAAAAAAAAAAAAAAATCAGTAAGTTACGGGAAGACATTGATTTGCATAAAGCAGAAACAGGACACAGCATGATAAGGAAACAATCTTACGCAAAAAAAATTTCCTCCTACTGCCTGAGTTCACCCAAGTTCAAGTTAAGGGTGGCCACAGGGCATTAGTTCTAATCCTTACCGCCCTCTTATGCAAAAAAAACCCCAAAAAACCCAAAAAACCCACAGGTCCGAGCTGCAGGACATACATATTCACTCATTTTATCCTCAACCACCCCCCTGGGTAGGAGGGCATTATTACCTCCAGTTTTCAGAGGAGAGAACTGGAGCACAGAGAAGGGAAGTCACTTGCCCTTAGTCACACAGCAGTGGGAGGTACAATTTGAACCCACAATGCCACATTTAAGGACGAAAAGGAGGGAGGGACAGAAAAGCCGCCTCGGTTTGAGAGCTAGATCAGCAGAGGCTGACATGCAAGATTTCTCATCCTGTCTTTCCCTGGCTTCCAAGATAAAAATGAGTTTTAATACAAATGTCCAAGGATGATAAACTTTTATTTCGTATTTTCGCTCCAGGGACTAGAGAGGTCAGCCTGCAGTCCCCTGGGCAGGACAGGGACTCAGTCAAGTGCCAAGAAACCTGTTTGCTCTGCTTTCTACCCCCACTGAACATGTGTCCTCAAGGAAGCTAAGCTCTCTGGGGTTTTGGGCCTCCCTTCCAAACAAGGAAGAGAAATATCATTCCTTCTCGAGATAAGCCACAATGAGGAACAAGCCAGTTGTAGGAGAGGCCAGAGATCCTAAAAAAGAAATGCAGAGACACCGTTTCCTTCCAGGGAGAAAACAGAGCCAGGAATAAGGAGGTTGCCTTTATCTGTTTGGGGGGTAAAAAAATTAAACTGTGCTTCCTCAAATTTCTCCCAGAACAAAAATCATGATCTCTTTCAATATAATACCCTTGGTGGGCGCCTGGGTGGCTCAGATGGTTAAGCCTCTGCCTTCGGCTCAGGTCGTGATCTCAGGGTCCTGGGATCAAGCCCTGCATCGGGCTCTCTGCTCAGCGGGGAGCCTGCTTCCCCCTCTGCCTGCTGCTCCAAGGGCTTGTGCCATCTTTCTATTAAATGAACAAATAAAATCTTTAAAAAAAAATTTTTTTTTTTAAATGTAGTACCTTTGGTACAGACAGAAAGACTCACTTTCCCCGTGTAGACAACAGGAAAAATACTTGGAGTCTCAAAAGGGTAAGAAGTGTCAAACGGATGACTATAAAGTATTTTGACCCGCAAGCTGCTAGTATGCTTGCTCGAGACCAGTGGTTCCCCTCTGGGCACGAGGTGCATGTGGGGAGGGGCCACCTGCACTGAGAGCAGAGGCCAGGGAGTGTGGCTTAACGCCCAGCAGTGCACACCCACCCCTCCCAGCGTAGACAGACATGCTGTGGTGGAGAAATCCTGAAAGAGAGGAACAGAGGAGGAGTCTGGGGGCCTAGGGGGCCCTGGACTTACCCCAGCAGGCACAGGCTCCCACAGGAGAGCCAGGTGAGGGCGCCGGCATTATAGGACAGCTGAGTCACGATCATCTTGTTGCAGGAAGGACAGCACATCTGGACCGGACGGTCGAAAAAGGAGATGGGCTGCTGGACGTACACAGTCTGCACAGCAACTGGGGGAACAGGTCTGGATGATCAGTGAATGGGGAAAGCGTCCAGCTGACAACCAGGAGGTGGGGGCCTGGTCTCCACGGGGGGCTCACCCACCCACCATTCACAAGAGCCAAAGCAGGGGAGCCACACAAGTGTCCACGGGTGAGCAGACGGATCAGCACGATGGGGGCTGGCCAGACAGTGGAGTCTCGCTTGGCCTTAAAAGGACATTCTGGGGGGACGCCTGGATGGCTCAGTTGGTTGGACAACTGCCTTCCGCTCAGGTCATGATCCTGGAGTCCTGGGATCGAGTCCCGTACTGGGCTCCCAGATCCACGGGGAGTCTGCTTCTCTCTCTGACCTCCTCTTCGCTCGTGCTCTCTCTCACTGTCTCTCTATCAAATAAATAAATAAAATCTTAAAAAAAAAAAAAAAAAAAAAGGACATTCTGGGGACGCCTGGGTGGCTCAGTTGGTTAAGCGGCTGCCTTCGGCTCAGGTCATGATCCCGGTGTCCTGGGATCGAGTCCCACATCGGGCTCCTTGCTCAGCAGGGAACCTGCTTCTCCCTCTGCCTCTGCCTGCCTCTCTGTCTGCCTGTGCTTGCTCGCTCTCTCTCTCCCTCTGTCCCTCAAATAAATAAATAAAATCTTTAAAAAAAAAAAAAAAGGACATTCTGACACATGCTACAACACGGCCGAACTTTCGTGATGTGATGCTGAGTGACGTCAGCCAGCCACAGGACACACACAGCAGGGTGTCACGTATATGAGGAACCTGGAGTCATCCAATTCACAGAAGAGCTGGTAGATGCTGGGGCTGGGACAGGGGCAGGGGCAGGGGGCACCGCCAGGAGCTGCTGTTCTGCCCGTACAGAGTTTCCATGTTATAAGACTTAAAAGTTCTAGAAAGGGATGGAGGTGACGGGGGCACAATGTGAACGTGCTTATTAATGCCACTCAACAGTACCCCGAGAGACACTTCCGGTGGTTTTATAGGACGTGTATTTTACCAAAACAGTGGCACATTTCCAGCATGATCATTTGAGAAATGATAATTTTTCAATAATCCCCCCCCCAACATGAGATGGGGAGAAGTTCCTGGAGCGGGGCTTTGGCTCATCACGACCAGACTCTCCAACCCGCTAACCACAGAATCGGGTGGGGAGTTTATTGCTAATGCAGGTTCCTAGACCCCCTCCCCGCCACCCTGCGTCTAACGCTGGGACAGGCCGAGTCAGCAGGTCCCAGGCAGGGTCCCCAGAAGGCTCTTTCAGCTCCCTGTGTGGTTCCACGAAGGTGGTCTGCAGATGGTAATTCCAGAAATGGCGATATGACGGGGTTTTAGCCTAATTTTCTTCATCCAGGGATTAGTGGTGGCCAGCGGCCAGGGGAGGGGGACGGGGGTTCTGTCTCGGGCTGTGGAAATAGTCTGGAGTGAGTGCTGATGCTTGGACAACTGTGATTATAGTGACCCCACCGAATCAGACACCCGGCAAGGGTGAACACGAGGGGACGGGAATCTCCATAATGCTTTTATTTTTTAAAATTGGAAGGAACAGGGGTGGTGCAGGGATTCCACGAGGTAAGGACAGTAAAGCAGCTCACACTCTGGGACCCTCGATGACACAGTCCCTCGTGGCACACGGGCCTCCTGACTCAGTCCCACGCCCAGCGATAATGCCGGTGACTGCCTACCAGCCCGGGGACACTGGCCTGGCATTTGCCGAGGAGTCCAGGAATCAATCAGACCCATGAAATGGGAATATAAAATCAGGCTAAAAGAAAACCGTGTGGAAAACATGGATAGGTGTTCAGTCACCAGAGGAGAGCCCACAGTGACAGAAACCGTGAAGTCCTTAGCATTCAGAATGGTTTTGGGTTTTGGCAAAGCTGTCTGAGCTCGTATTTCTGTCAAAGTGACTTCCTTCTGTTCCTTTCCGCCGCGCTGGAATGCCATTTCTACAATCTATGCGTTAGGGGAAATTCGCTGCTGTCCAAGCCAACAGAACTTAATACTCCTAGAAAGACCCAGAAAGACTCTCCTTCCAGAAAAGCGGTATTTAAGCATTCTTGACCCTTTACATGTCAACTGTATTAAAGTCTTTTCTTTCTTTCCTTCTTTTTTTTTTTTTTTGGTGCAATAAATTATTGATCAGAGCATAATCAGCCCAAAGTCACCTTGTTCTCTTCTATCTGAAGGGGTCAAAGTTACTCGAGCACAATGGCTCACTTTTTATCAAAGGATTACTCACCGAGCTTTATTTCATCAGAACAACCCTCTGATGGAGGCATCTGATAAGCCTCATTTTACAAGCGGGAAACTGAGGTACCAGGCGGGAGGTGAACCCAGGTAGTCTGACCCACAGGGCTGCCCTCTGAGCTGGCGAGTCCTTCCTCCTCAGCTGCTTGGGATACTGAATCAGCTTCGCACCTGGGCGCACCTGGGCAGCAGGAAATCCCAGGGGGCAAGGCCACCAAGAAGTTGCCCGAAGGCCGGGAAGCCACGCCAACACGGGCAGGCCGGCGGTTCCTAACGCCTAGCTGTTTCTGCACACGACCCCCCCCACTCCAGCCAGGCCTCAGCAGGAGGGAGGGTTGGGGGCCCTTAAAAGCAAACTCCCATCCCCCAGTTTCTCTGGGATTGTTGGTGGGCCTCTGTGGTTTGCACCGAAGGATCGCTCTTTGGGCGACTTGGGACTGTGCTTTGCTAGGGAAAAGGTGCGAGCCCCCCAGATGTGGAACCCAGAAGACTAGGTGGGGCACATTCCAGGACGAAGGGTCAAGCCGGACTGACCCGCACTCGGCTTCGACCCTTCAGCAGGTCGAGTCTGTGGCTCCCTGACTGTCGCAGAGTCCCCAAGGCCAGGGCGGAGAGCCAAGGAGAGGTTAGGGGGTGCGGGAGGTGGCACCTACTTGCACTGGCACTGGGGACGGGCACTGGCTGCACGTAGGAGGCAGGCGGATTCACGCCCTTGCCATCCGGGCCCGTCACCAGCCCTGTGGTCGGCCCCGGCACCGGGCCAGGAGGCATCGGGAAGTAACTGTTAACAGCCACCGTCTCTTCATAGGATGGGGGTGCGGTTGGCACTGAGGAAGGCCCAGCGGCCGCCTGGTAGGATCCCGGAACAGACATTTTACCTAAAGCAAAACCAGAAGACACCCGATCAGAAATGCAAGGGGCACCCCGGCTCCTTTTTCCACCCGAATCTTCCAATTTCTACCGGACAAAGAAAACGTGAAGACGTGGGTTGTGTCAGCCTTGTCCAAAAGCCAGGAAGGGGAGTTAATGTCTCTCCCAGAGCCAGGAACGATCACCTTAAGAAGGGATTCCCTAAATAAGGCTAACAGGTAAACAGTTACAACCCCAAGTCATCAAAACCTAGGAAAATCCCAAGGGCACACACATCACGCCGATTAGAGCAGAAGCTTCTCCTCACACTTCAGAACTAGCCAACGGCTTGTGTTGCACACGGAGTATTGTCTTCTTTCGAACACTGCGGTTTTTACTAAAAGCATTTTAGATGCCAGAAAAGACAAAGGCATTCAAACTCAACCACAAACTATGGCAAACAGAGTGTGTCGTTGTGACAGAAGCCGGAGGGCAGAGACGCACAATCTGGTGTGACACCCTGTACATCCAGAAGTGGGCAGAATGAGTCCTGGGCCAGAAGGCCCAGAAGCAGGTGTTCCTGGAAGGGTGGGGAGCGCAGGCTAGAAGGGCTTGGCGGGGGACGGGGGGATGCGGGGTCTTATAAGGGGCTCCTCCTGTCCTTGTTCCCCATCTGGGGGCGGTCACATGGCATGCCCACCACATGAGAACGAGCGGTACAATGAAGATGTGTGCACTTTTTATTTGTATGTTAGTTTGTTTTTTTTTACAGTTTTTTTTAAGATTTTATTTATTTGACAGAGAGACAGCGAGGGAGGGAGCACAAGCAGGGGGAGTGGGAGAGGGAGAAGCAGGCCTCCCGTGGAACAGGGAGCCCAAAGCGGGGCTCCATCCCAGGACCCTGGGATCATGACCTGAGCCAAAGGCAGACAGTCGAAGACTGAGCCACCCAGCGCCCCATGTTAGTTTTTAAAAAGTCAACACACACACACAAAACCAGCTCCCATTCGGAAAACGGAGTATCAGAGGAGCCAGGCACATATTTCCTTTTGTGAGGGCAAAGAAAGAGTCTCCCCACATTCCTGCTCCTGCCCCCCCATCTCTCCCCGCCCCAGGGACTGGGGACAGAGCTGATGCCCGCCTAGAATTACGTGGCCTGTACCCAGGGTGTGTTCCTGCTGTGGCCCGTGCGCAACAGCCCCGGGGCAGCTGGAGAAGGACACAGTGCAGCTCTTTGTGCGGCTGTTTTTCTAAAGGGGCAGAGCTAAGGAGGCCTTAGAAGATCCATTCAAACCTGCCTCAGGAGAAATGGGGAAATGAGCTCCCAGGGCGGCGTGCCACGGTCCAGGGGCTTGGACAGGCCTGCTGCCTCTTCCCCCCACATTCTGCCTGTCTTTGAGAACCCGTGGGAAGCGGAGGCAAAGTTAATTCTGCCGCGGGGAGAAGGGGAGACTCCTTCGAGGAAGCTCTCTGCTTTTAAGCAGAGACCAAAAGAGATTTCTTCGGGGCAGGAGGGAGGAGCTGGGGGGAGGGGGAGAAACTTGGGAAAGTGGACACGTGTCAAACACAGTCAGTAAATAAAGCTAAACAGGTTGGGGCCGGGTTGTAGGAAATGTGAAAGCCCTATGGAGGTGTTTGGGCTTTATTGTATAAGGCTGCCCAATGGAACCTTCTGGAAGAATGGAAATGTTCTCCATCTAGGCTGTCCAATATGGCTGTCCAGCAGCCACACACACACACACACACACACACACACACACACACCCCACTGCTGGGAACTCACAGTGTGGTTGGTGTGACCCAGGAACTGAATGTTCACATTGTATTTCAAGCGTCAATGGTTTAAATGTAAAATCTAGGGACGCCTGCATGGCTCAGTTGGTTAAATGTCTGACTCTTGATTTTTGGCTCAGGTCACGATCTCAGGGTTGTGAGATCAAGTCCTAGGTCGGGCTCTGCAGGCGGCACGGAGTCTGCTTAAGATTCTCTCGCTCTCTCTGCCCCTCGCTCCCCACTAGCATGCTCTCACCTTCTCTCTTAAAAATAAAAAATAATGGGCGCCTGGGTGGCTCAGTGGGTTAAGCCGCTGCCTTCGGCTCAGGTCATGATCTCAGGGTCCTGGGATCGAGTCCCACATCGGGCTCTCTGCTCAGCAGGGATCCTGCTTCCCTCTCTCTCTCTCTGCCTGCCTCTCTGTCTACTTGTGATCTCTCTCTGTCAAATAAATAAATAAAAATCTTAAAAAATAAATAAATAAATAAATAAATAAAAATCTAATACACCATGCAGTTATGGAAAACTTCCATTAAGTTTTCAAGGGGCACCTTGGCTATGTGAATCTATTTTTCCAACAGCGACCCTAACGGGCTCTGCATCTAGAGCAAAAGTTTCTGACAAAATATTAGCATCCAATTTCGGAGATGATGTCAACATAAAATATCCCCTGGATTTCAAAAAAAAAAAAAAAAATCACGTGAAATACTTCATTCATAATTTTTTATATTGGAAATGGCAATATTTTAGATAGGCGGAGTTAAGCAAAATGCATTGTTACCACTCCTTTCATCCGTTTCTTTGTACCTTCTAAAATGTGGCTACTAAGAAATGTTTAAACTAACCACATGGCTCACACGTTCCTGCTTCTACAGGACGGAGGCACTATGGAACACAGGGCTGTAGAGAAGGGTTGTAGAGAAGAGGAAAGGTCCGACCCTAGAAAGCACAGATGAGGCAGGTCTGTTGGAGAAGCAAGGAACAAACCTTGGAAGGCCCGCAGGTGGTGGTGGCAGCTATATCCTAGTCTGCAGGGACAGTTAATCAGGAAGGCTGAAGGGGAGCTAATGAGATCACAGGACATCTTTGTGCAAACAGGTCCAGGGTTTAAGAATGAGAACACAATTGTCAAAAGTGGTTATGACATGTTGTCTGTTTCCTCTGACACACAAGAACAGAAAACCAGAAGAAAGAAGGGAGCCAGACTGCAGACATCAACCCAGCACAGTTCACCAACTTTACCTCCTAAGCTGGCTTGGTGTCCCTCGCCGGCCACAGACCCTGGAACACCAACCCCACCCCACCCCCAACCCCAGCCCTCCACCACTGCTTCTGGCCCGGCCTGCGTGTGTACAGACTCTGGCTGCCAGCCGCCTCCGTGCACTGGAGGAATTCAGGACCTCGCCGAAGGTCAAGGGCTCACTGTCCCTTCCTGTCTCAGGAAAGGCAGACCCCCAGCTGCCTACACAATTTATTATGAAAACTGACTCACAGCAGAAAACCGCAAGGACCGAAAACACTGGGCTGGACAGACAGAGGGCCTAAAATAGCACGGGGTGCCGCGATGGCAAGTGGTGCACTTTCGAAGGGGAACGGGAGGTCTTGGGCGCCCTGAGTTTTGCAGAAAACACAGTCTGGGTCAAACAGCTGGGAAACAATGACTCAACTCAGAAGTCGAATCCCTCCCCTTCAGAACCACTGCTCCCTCTTCCAGAAGGGACCCAAGGCAGCTGTGTCATCAAGGGCGGACATGGGGGTGCAGGGGTGGGGGGGCCTCCTTTCCTCTGGAGGAAGGAAGGGCCTGGGCTTCTGGAAATCAAGGCCGGCCTGCCGGCTTATCACGGCTTATCACGCCCGCATCGCTGGTGTCACGGCCGCAGCCTATAGCTTCTGAACTCCAGGCCCCTGCCTCCTGGGAACATCCATCCTGTGTCCAACAGCCCGTAAATGTAAACAACACTGAGGATTCTGAAAAGGGACAAAAGCAACAGGCTAGGGCAGTAAACACAAACCCAAACCCATCAACAGCTGGATGGAAGGGTTTTCTAAATACATTCGGCAGCCTCCCTTCCCCAGGCCCCAGGCCAGGAAATGCCACTTTGTTCCATCCCACTTCTTTCTTCTCCCCCCACTCCGCTGCTACGCCCCCCCCCACCGCCAACCTTTTTAATTTGGCTTCCCCAGCGGGCAGGAGGCCCACCTTGCCTCCACCTCCTGGTCCTCAAGCCCCAACACTCTTCAAGGGGAGCAAACACTCACCCACACCCTCCGCTGTCACCAGGAACCCTCTGTCCCTCCAGATCAGGCCACCCATGAGTGAACAGCAGCGGTGCGAGCACAATTCCATCCAATACCTGCGCTCCCTTTTCCGGGACAAACAGGGAAGCATCTCGGAGTTCGGAGCAAAGCCACAGTCTTGCCACCGAAAAGCACAGCCTCGAGAACCGCCTTGAGAACCCCCTTTGGCGGGATTGGTGAACACCAGGTTGTCATGGCTACAGGGAGGGGGGATAAAGGGGCCAGCAAGGGGGTCTCCTTCCTCCCTCCCCACTTGTTTAACTTTGTTATCAGGCCCCTGCGAGTGGGTTTTCTCGACTGCTCGCCTGTTTAAAAGCACACGGTGAAGGCGATTCTCCATCCAGCTTCCCCCCGCTCCAGCCCCACAGACATGAAGGAAATGCTTAGGCATGGGGAGCCCCACGGTCCCCACCTCAGAATGACCCCACTGCAAGCGACTCCCAAAGCCACAGAGAGAGAGAGAGACAGGCATCCCAAACCCCTTGTTCCAATCAGAAAATGTGACCAGGGTGGCCTCGCAGCGCGCGTGGCCTGGGCAGCCCCACAGGCCCTACACCCCGGAGACCGCGCTCAGCCCAACACTCTGCAGCTACCATCCTGACATTCTGAAGACTCAGGGAACCGGGGGGCCCTGCGTGTCCACGCTGCACCGGGGCCCCAGGTCGCAGGAAAGGAGGCCTGTCTGATGCGAGAAGGGCTGGAGGCTGACCAGGAAACTAGCCCATGACCAGACGCATGGGCCCGGCCCCTACCTTCTCACCTGTCAATGTGCCACTTGGAATTCTGGGGTCCCTTTGCACCATGTCTCCACGATTTCCTCGGTGACAGAGTCTCTCTTTGATGGGCAGTGAGGGGTTCTAGGGGTATCTATTCCTGGGCCCAGTTCAGACACGGTACAGAACGGGGTTTCTCAGCCTTGTTTTCATTACAGCTGCCCCCCCAAGGAGAAAAATTAAAT